ACTTTGCAGTCCAGCGCGTTAACCCTCATTGCATTAACCTGCAGCTAATTATTGAAGGGCGTCCTGGTGTGGCGCTGCGGGTTAATGTGCCAGACTACAAAGCCATTTGAACTGCAAGGTCAGAGGATCAAGCTCACCAGCTGCTCCTCGGAAACCCTATACAGAGTCACTTTGGGCCAGAACTGACTCAACTGCACTAAACAACAACAATTATTGAAGGGTTTTTAGAAAGTTAGCCAAAGCTTTAGGAGAAAAATGGCCAGTAAATCTTTACCAGAGTATTTCCCACTATGATAATGCTCCTGCTCATTCGCCTCATCAGACAAGGGACATTTTGTGAGAGTTTCTATGGGAGATCATTAGGCATCCATTTTATAGTCCCTTTTTGGCTCCTTCTGACTTCTTTATGTTTCCTAATCTGAAAATCTTTAAAGGATACCCATGTTTCTTCAGTTAATACTCTAAAAAGACTGTACTCACATGCTAAATTCTAAGAACCCTCAGTTCTTTAGGGATGGACTAAATGGCTACTATCATTATTTACAAAAGTGTATTCAACTTAATGGAGTTCATGTTGAGAAATAACGTCTTATATTTTTATATTTTAGCTGTTGTTTTTTTCCCCCCATGAATTTTTGGAAGACCCTTCATATGTACTCCACATTGACCTTCTCTCAGTAAGAGAGACCTTTGAAAAAATTAGAGGTATTGAAAAGTACGAAGTATTAAGGGAGATGTTGGGCTGTGGCACTGGGAACAGAGCTGGATAACGTTAAGATCTCTTTCAACTCTGCAAATCTGTGAAGTATCAAACCAGATTAATTCAGTTAGTGCTATACATGGAGTTTACAGAAAGTTCATGGAAGTATGGAATTTTTTAAAAATTGAAATTTCCCCAAACATTTTGAAGCTCCTTTGCTTAGTATTACATGTGATTCTGCCATAATGTAAAAGTCAAAATAAAAGAACAAAATTGAAGAGCTATGTTAAATTTATTATTATTTTTTAAATTGATATATTTTGTTTTAGAACTAAAGTGAAATCTATTTGGATGTGGAAAAAAAGAAATAAAAATGTTGAATCCATTTTTATTTCATGACTTATCATTATACATAAATTGTGTATGAAAATTATTAACTCTTTCTTAACAACAAATTATTTTGTCAAACAAAGACATGGGTTTACTTTTGCTTCCATGAATTATAGATGCTAATGTTAAATAATACATAACAAAATTATTTAAATCATCATAGAAATACATAAAATATAGAAATAAATGTAAGTAGCCAATTCAATTTTTATTTCAACTCTTTTCCTAATGTTTTCTTTTTTTAGCACAAGAGTTTATTTTTCATACCAGGAAATTCATTACAAGAATATATCCCAAAGCAACAAGGACAGACTCTTCTAATTATAATCCTCAGGAATTTTGGAATCTAGGTTGTCAAATGGGTATGTTACACAAAATATTGAGCTGTTTGCAAAAGTAAGATAAAACCACTTTTTTACACACTTGTGAAAGAGTTTCCTATGAAGTTCTTTGGCCTTGGGCCTTCTGGGAACCAGGCATTAATAGTGAATCATTGGTTTCAAGAGTTGAAGTCTTTCCTAAATCATGATTTGGAAGGTATAATCTAGAAGCAGGTTGAAGATAGAGGCTAAAATCATGAGAAGTTAGTATGAGACATGTATGGTGAAAACAGGGAAAAGTAAACCAAAAGTAAAAACAAGTGGGAAATCAATTTCTGTTGCTTGGAAGATATGCTAAATTATGTGACCTCTACCTTTCATATTTCACATTTTCTTCTATATTCATACATGTTAAAACATGGATGTACCTTGAAAATAATAAACTGAATGAAATAAGTCAGTCACTAAAGGACAAATATTGTATGATCCCACTTACATGAAATACCTAGTAAAGATAACTGTATAGAGAGACCAAAGTTCATTAGTGGTTACTAGGACACGTGGGAGGGATACAAAAAGGGAGACTCAATGGTTAACTGAGCTTCTATTAAGGCTGATGAAAACATTTGGGAACCGAAAGTAGTATTGGTTGAACAACAAGATGAGCATATTTAATGTCACAGAATTTGTACATGGAAAGACTCTTGAAAATTTAAATATTTTGTTACATCTACGAGTATATTTACCACACACACACAAAGAGTGAATGAGATTACATGTTTTGTTCTTTGTCCTTATTGGATACTTCCTGTTCCAAATTAAACAGCTGACATAGTACTGACATTAACTAGTTAGAAAGTGCTAGGTATTAACTATTTCACTATAGAATTGTGGCAAGGCCTATACATTTAAGGAAACAGGTGAAGTGGAATCAGGTCAGGCAGTGTGGCATGGTACCAGATGAAGTGGCTATTTACCAGCCCATACAGAAGTATTTCTATAATTTAACACCATTATTGCTCTGCCCATTTCTCACTTTCTCCTTATGCAACAAAATATGTCTTTGGACGTGAAAAAGTATGATGTAGTTTATATCTTCTCTTTTATTCTGATTAATGGACTGATTTTCTTTATTCACAGATTTCCTTAATTTATCTGACATGTACCTTGCTAGTCCATAGTCTGTACTATGTGACATTTTAAGTTTTAACTCAACACTATAAAATAATTTAAATTATGTATTAAATTTAGAAACTCACTTTCATATATTAACATAGACATGGTAGGAGGAAGAAGTAAAAAATCATGAATTTTAGGCTAAGAACGCTTTAGAACATTTAGAAGATAGAGAATCCATATTTAGATATCAGTTAATTTGTAACTGTGTGTTTTGTTAACAGTACTCTCTGTTTCCTGAAAATATCAAAATAATTTTTCTCACAGTGGCCTTAAATTTCCAGACCCCTGGTCTGCCTATGGACCTATATACTGGAAAATTTTTGGACAATGGTGGTTCAGGATATATTTTGAAACCCCAATTCCTAAGAGACAGTGAATCAAACTTTAATCCAAATGATGTAATGACAGACAGTAAACCAATTACACTTACAATAAGGGTAAGTTAAATAACATCTCTTTCTTGTACTTTTACTGATTATATAAGCTAGTTAATAAAAACCAAATCCACTGTCATCGAGTCAATTCCAGCTCATACCAACCCTATATAGGGTTTCTGAGACTGTAAGTCTTTACAGAAGTAGACAGCCTCATCTTTCAGCCATGGAGCAGCTAGTGGGTTTGAACTGCTGACCTTGCTATTAGCAGTCTAGTACTTACTCTACAGCATGACTAAGACTCCTTAGATAGTGTAAATTAATATTTTTAATTTCACTGATGCCCTTAAGCTTTTAAAATTTTGTTAGAATTTTCAGATACTATAGATGGGTGGCATTTCAGAATCCTTCTGTATCTTGAAATGTTTTTCTTTTGCCTTGCATGAATGATTACCTACCAGTCAATAGAAATATTAGAGCTAAAGCATCTAACTATTGTGATACAGATGTCTAGGTTTAGTCCAATAATTACTTTGTGAGTAGCCTTCTTTCCCCCACTCTCTCTCTCTCTCTCTCTCTCTCTCTCTCTCT